CCAAGACCCAAGTGGTTAAAATGCAGATCCTAAGATTATTGAAAATCCAGAATGGTATAAAAATAGCAAATACTGACATTCTAGAAAGGTAACCCAAGAATAGAAGAGGAAAGAAAAAAAGGAGAATGAAGAAATAAGTTTAAATCCATGGCACCAGCCTCTTGTAAATGATTTTTCATGGAAGTGATCAGTTTTGTAATCATTATAATAACTTTTACATTTGTTTACTTCTTAGGAAGTTTAAGACATTCAAGACAATCTTATATATCAGACGAGATTTTAGTTAAATGCTTAAATTAGTTTCAGTGTGAAACAATATTTAATGTTTGAATAAGTTTGATTTATTAAATCCTTAAGTTTTTATGTAGTAGTTGTGTAAGTAGTATGTAAATAGGAGAATGTTGTTTAATACTTAAATGTTAATTGTTTAATAAATTCATAAAGGTAGCAAGGTTTACATTACACAGAAATGCCTTAAAGTCCTTTAGACAATGACAGTGTGTCCCAGGAGGGGAGGAGAGCCTCAGTTTGCAGGTTGGGGACAGATGGTTTAGGGTCCGCTAACATAGTAGATTGGTTTTATCTCTCTAGGCTCATCATCTTTGCCCCTGTTAATCACCAACAGAGTTGGTTCTTCTGAATTCAGCACATTACAGTGTCTCAGTGAACAGAGAGCCCCAAAGCAATGGGTACAGGAGAAATGGGTTTTGATGGGGTGAGGCAAGAGGGAAAGTCCAGCGCTTGGGACCAGCGGTCAGACCCAGTCAGAGGGGAATGCCAATGGCTGGTCCTGGATCACCAGGGAGCGCAGGAAAAGGATATGGAGAAAGGAGACAGGGGGACAGCGGGAAAGGTGCTAAAGAAAACAGCTTCCAGTCCATCAGTCATGACTGCCATCCTGAGGCCAAGAAGGACTAAATGGTCTCGAAATTACTTCACAGCTTGTTTCTACCACCTTTCCACGGAAGGTTGTGCCTAGCTGGAGACTATCTGAGACCAAAAATTCTTTCATATCGGCCTCTCCCACTCCTTTGAATAAACAACAGCTATAGCACCAAGTTTTACTACCACCTTAGGATAAACCATATACACCCCATCAATTGATATGGGGCCAATAAGAACCCCTAGAACAGCCATTGCTACTGAGAATGTGAAGATGGTTGTTCGTACCCTCGCCACACCCACGTCTCTGAGACCTGAAGCAGCCATTCTCCTCCCACAAACCCTCCATGACCAGGATATTCTGTAAGTGGGTAGATCTATAAGCCCTGGTGGGTGATGGATAATCTTGAAGGTTTGTGAGTTCACTCTTGGATGTGACAATATGACCTTGTAAAGGTGAGTGCCCCCTGGATGCGTTCACCAGTTTCCTGCCAGCAAAAGGAGAATAATGACCTAGAAAGAGATAGGAAAAGGACAATAGGGGACATCCTTCCAACTGAAAAATAAGAGGAACACAAGAGGTAGGCATTTGGTCTAGAGAGAAAGACAATACCAAAACCTGACGGCTGGTCTTCAGGTGACGTGAGAAAGGACTTGTCAGAGGAAGGACTCCAGGTGGTGATTAAGCTGTCGGGCTGGAGAATCTCACTTTCTACTGCTCTGTGCAGTTTGCCCACCCGCGCTTGCAGTTTCCAAATTGTACCATCACCAAGCTCCACCTCTCACTGGCTGTGTGACCTTGGGCAAGTTATCTAACCTTGCTGAGCCTCAGTTTCCTAATCTGTAAAAAGGAAACAGTAAGAATAAGTACATCCTAGAATTGTTGTGAGAATTGAAATAACCCTGTAACACATTTAATTCGTGGTAAATATATGATAGAAGAAGCTATTGTTATCATCACCAGGAGTGTGTGTGTGTGAATGAGAAACATCTGACTGAGTGAGCTCAGTTTGTTTGAGGAATGAAATATTTAAATGAGAAGCCACCTCTCTCTTCCTTTTTTTTTTTTTTTTTTTTTTTGTACTGAAGACTCGTGGCCTCATGCGGTCTTTATTGGCCTCTGAACTGTTGAACTGCCCTTTGCTTTGCTTTGTCCCAGCCTTCTCTCTCTCTCTTTTTTTTATAAGATTGGCACCTGAGCTAACAACTCTTGCCAATCTTCTTTTTTTTTCCTGTTTTTTCTCCCCAAGTCTCCCCAGTACATAGTTGTATATTTTAGTTGTGGGTCCTTCTAGTTGTGGCATGTGGGATGGCACCTCAGCATGGCCTGATGAGTGGTGCCATGTCTGTGCTCAGGATCCAAACTAGCAAAACCCTGGGCTGCCAAAGCAGAGCACAAGAACTTAACCACTCGGCCACGGGGCCAGCCTCGCAACTCCCTCTTCTTGATCTTGGAATAATTCTCTTGAGTGCAATTCCCAGTGGGAAGCATCACATCAACCTTAATGATGAACTGTGAAGTCAACTATGCCATGTCTCCAGACCAGCCTCCACTGTGGGGCTAAAAACTGTCCTTCTGTGTGATCCCACCAGGACTGCCTCACTGGGACAAGGTACTGCTTTATAATCATTCCCGTATAATTGCTCAGAGTTTTCCAGTCTCTAATGCACTTCGTCATTATCTTCATTGAGCTTCATAACAACTCTGTGAGATAGACTGGACATCTGCCTTCATCCCATTTCACAGATGCCAAAACTAAGGTGCACAGGAGTGAACGACTAGCCTAAACTGATGTGGCAGAGAAGGCTGTGTGGACACACAGGAGGGGAACCTCAATCTTCTGACGTCCAGACAAGTCCTCTTTATATTGCAACACCTTCCCTCCTAGGATAGAAGAAATGACTCCTGCTACTCCATCCACCACTTCCAACAATTAACTACTAATAAATATGTAAAAATCAGTACATTAGCAGCAACTCCCACTGCAAACCTTAGGACCTTTATTATGTCACAGAATACCAACCCATTCTCTCTCTCTCTCTTTTTTTTTTTTAGCAACAACTGACCTTAAGGCAAAGACCACTCTGATGGGGCTGACCACAGGTACCCAGGACCCTCCATCAGTGCCAAGTACCAGACAGATACCAGACAGACTTCACTCCATCAGCTTAGTGTCACCTCTGTGCAAGCCGTCGTTCACTTCTCTCCCTGGGCCTCATTATCTCCACCTGTAAAATGGGCCCAGCAGTGACTACCGATGAGATCGTTGTGGGGATTAGCTGGAAGGGCGTATGTGAAAGCACCTCATCCAGAGTCTGGCATATAATAGGTACTCAGCAAAAGTTAGATGGGTTTTTGTTAATTGCATATTGTACTTGAACACTCCCTAGACAAATAATGAGAAAAATTCAGTTTGAGTCACTGACTCTGTCACTTGTTCACTATGTAACCTTGTGTAAGTTGCTTAATCTCTTTGAGCCTCAGTTTCTTTATCTTATAACGTCTTCCTCATAGATGGTAAGGAGGGTTAAATGATAAAATATGCAGAGGATTTGATGAGCTGAGAAGAGCTTCACGGGGCTTGGGAGGAGGTGTCGGTGAAGCTCTAGAAGGTCACAGCAGGAGAACAGATCTGACTCGGCATGCAGCCGTGTGACTCAGGAATAAAGTGGAAGAAGAGAGAAAACAGGAGGCTCAGAGAAAGAGAGAGAGGGTTCGTTGATCCACTGTGTTTGCTGGGTGCCAACCTTGATCCAGACACTGTCCATGGTGCTGGGGGTGCAGCAGTGAACCAGCAAAGTCCCTGTCCTGGCACTTACACTCCGGGAAGTGTGGGGAACAGGACAGAAGTGCTGAGACAGAATTTAAATGTGCAAGTAGGAGTGACTAGAGAAAGGGGGTGACCGGAAGAGGGACTGACAGAAATGAGACTCCAACCCTAAGAGGATGAGCGTGGGCTTATGGAAGAGACAGGGCTGAAAACAGAACCGCCTGCTGCAGGACAGGGAGAAACCGAGAGTCCAAGGTGGGAACGAATTGGGGGAAGAGGTTGAGGTGATAGCGAAGGGAATGTGGTTGGTAATGGGAAAGTATCCCAATAAGGAGTTCTTGGCACAGGATGGAGCATTATGGCAGACACTGGGACGGGAGAGTTTTCTCTGAGAACATCTACCTCACACTCAGACAGGTAGCTCCCCATCCCTCCAGTTCTGGTGTTTATCCTCCTCCTACTTCCTGCCCCACAACCTGCCCAATTCCCAGGACCTGGAGCAATCTTCAGGCTTTGCAGAGGACTCGTACACCTGGACCACTTCGGTGAGCTAGGCACCAGGAAAAACATGGGTGGGCACCAGGAGCACACCCTTCTGAAAACCCCATCACCCCCAGCTGGCTCCTGCTAACTTCTGTCTGCACTTTCTTAGAATGACCCTCCTCAGCCTCACTCCAATTCCTGTGCAACAATACCGAGCTCCTGGGAAAACCAAAGGGAAGGCAGAGACACAACCGTGTGACCAAAAGAAGAGACTGTGTCATCACTTGGGAATAAAAGCATCAAGTGCAGCCGCAGGTAAGATTGTTGGCTCCAAGGTTTTTCTCTCCCTTTCCCTTCTCCCTTTCCTTTCTTCCTCTATTGAGGTCTGCTATTTATTCAGCAAGTGTTCAAAGTCTGTGGTTCTCTGGGGCACAATGTGCCAAGTGATGCATGTAAGGGAGGAGATCAATGCATCCTCTGCTTTCAAGAAGCTTGCTTTCTTGGGAAGAAAGGATAAATAAAGACAGAAAGACTTTCTTTGACTCTCTGTTTCTTTGTGAATCAAAGAATAGTCATTCCCCACTTGGCCCTGGTACCAACGTCCTGGACCCCATCCTTCCCTCTCCCATCTCAATTACTCCTACTGCCCCTCCTCCCCTTTTCAGATCCAGAACAACTCTGGAACCAGCTGTCCCACCTGCCCTGAGTGAGACCATGAGGCTCCACCCCCAAACACCTGGGCTTTGATCTTTTGCAAAAGATGGGGACAGCAAGAGAGCATCTTGAGGACCCTACAGGAACATGGGGATGAACAAAACTCACTTCACTTTGCCCCCAGAAATAAAGACACTGAGAAGGAGCAGATTCAATAACTGCTGTGTTTATTTGAAATCATCATGAGGGGAGCAGGGGGTGCAATGAAAAGTGGAGATGATGCTAGAAAACATGCTGACTGAATCTTGATTTAGCTCACACTGCAAGAGGAAGGAGCAGGACTCCCTTCTCTGACTTCCAACCTAGGGTTTTCCCCCTTTGTCATTCTCCTAACCCAACTATGACTGGGGGTTTTGAGGATTGGGGAAGCCAGCTGGGATGTTCCAGGAAGAGCCAGGGGGATTGAGAACTCTGGGAGGAAATCGATTAATAATACCTGGCTGTAGATTAACATTCCCTCAGCTGCCTCCTGGATACCGATTAATACTCCCCCAGCTGCCTCCTGGATACTGATTAATAGTCCCCCAGCTGCCTCCTGGATACCGATTAATACTCCCCCAGCTGCCTCCTGGATACCGATTAGTACTCCCCCAGCTGCCTCCTGGATACCGATTAATACTCCCCCAGCTGCCTCCTGGATACCGATTAGTACTCCCCCAGCTGCCTCCTGGATACCGATTAATACTCCCCCAGCTACCTCCTGGATACCGATTAATACTCCCCCAGCTGCCCCCTGGATACTGATTAATATTCCCCCAGCTAGTACTTGGGCATTTATTATTGCCCCAGATTCCCACAGGGCATGGCATGGGCCTTGTTCCCCACCCAGTTCCACGACCTCCACCTCCCCAGGACACACTGGGATTCAGGGTCCCCCAGGGGTGACCAGGCAGAAGCGGCTTTCGAATCCTGCTGATGAGAGACCAGGGTGGGCGTTGGGCAAGGATTTGTTTCTGGTCTCCCAGCACATTAGAACGGGATAATGGTCTAGACTCAGAGTCCTGGTGGAGGGGTGAAACCTCAAGTGAGGGGTCTGCAGAGTGTGAAGAGGACCCTGCAGGCACAAGACCACTGTCCAAAGGGAGGGCAATAGCATTGGAAAGGAAAGACAGTTCTTCGGGCAGCACTTCTCCCCCATCGTCCTCGACTGCACCAGCCATCATTGGCCAAAGATCCTCAGAGGGCCAGGAATCCATGGAGGGCAGCTCCTCAGATGGGGGCCACCTCTGAACCTCAGAACTTCCTGCAGGTTGGAAGCTGTCTGATGGAGAAGCGTTGGTCTTCAGAGGAGCCCTTGCTAAATCGTTGGACCCAGGGTCTGGTTTGGACTGGGGATGTTCGGAGTTGGAGAGGCTGGCCAAGAAAGGTTGTCCAAGCAGAGGTGAGTTGGTCCCCAAGTCTTGGGGAACTTTCTCCTTCATTACACTGATGCTCCGGGCAAAGAGGCCTGAGGGAAAGGGAAGACGAGGCCACCAATGGACGCATGTTTTGTCCCAGTGCCCTCACTTCCCGGATTCTCTGATTCCCTTCACTTCAAGTCTCTTCACTTCCCCTCTGTGAACTCTTACTTCCCCCAAGGACCCAAGTGTGCACCCTTCTGCCTTTACCCATTCCCTCACTCAATTCCGGTCCCCCTGAGGCCCCCAGTGCCTTCCTGCCCAAGAGTCGGGCACAGCCTCCATACCTGGAAGATGAAGACAAACCAGGAGCAAGCCCAGAGGAGCACAGCTCCGTGCCATGCGGCCCTGCATCTTGCTCAGCTCTAGCATCTCCCACAGCCCCAAGACATCCAGCCTTTATCCTGTTAGTGGGGCGGGGGACAGCAAAAACAGGCTGGGCCAGTGGTTGTGGAGACAATAAACTCTACATTCCACCCTCATTCCTAATTCAGTCTGTGGCAACAGGTGCCATTTGAATGTCCCAGGGAAGCTGGGTGTTTGCCGCCCTGGCTTCTTTCCTCAAGCTCCCCACCCCTCCTGACCCAGGTGTCCTGGCTCACAGCTCATCATGGTTGCAGCCCTACCGTTCTCTGGGTCCCTATGCCAAGCACACGAGGACCTTCACCCTTGGGATCCCCATCTCCATTGCTTTCTCACCAGTAGAAACATTTGGTTCTCATCTCTTTCTCTTTGGGATCCAGATCATTCTCTCCCAGCACCCCTTTCTCATGCACCCCCATAGCTCCTTTGCCTTGACCCCAACCTGCAGGAGGTTCTGGGTACATAAGTGGCCCCCATCTGAAGGGCTGCTCCTAGATGAGACTCTGTATCTAGGGAAATAGACCTGATTCCCATTCTTCAGAGATGATGGTGTATTAATGTCCCATGGCTGCTGTAACAAATTACCGCAAACTTAATGGCTTACAACACAAATTTATTATCTTACAGTTTTGAAGAAAAGGAGTTAAAAATGAGTCTCACTGGTTTAAAATCAAGGTGTTAATAGGGCTATGTTCCTTTCTGAAGGCTCTAGGAGGGAACCCATTTCCTTTGGTTTTCCATCTTCTAGAGGCCCCCTACACTCCTTGGCTCACAGTCCCTTCCCCCATGTTCAAAGCCAGAAACAGCAGGATGTTCTCACATTGCATCACTCTGACCTCCTCTTCTCCTTCCCTCTTCCATGTTTAAAGACTCTTATGATTACACTGGGCCTACCCAAATAATCCAGGATAATCTCTTTATTTTAAGGTCAGCTGACTAACAACCTTAATTCCATCTGCAGCTTTGATTTCCCTTTGCCATGTAACCTAACATACTCACAGGGTCTAGGGATTAGGACATGGGCATCTTTGGTGGTGGTGGAGGCACCATTGTGTCTACCACAGGTGGTCAAATGTATCCACAGAATATAAGAAATACTGAAAGAGTAGATATTTCCAACTAACAATAGAGGAGGGCGTTTAAATGCTGTTGTCAAATGGCCATAAGTTGATCATTGTTAATTCTGGGCAATGGGAGCACGGATTCATCAACTGTTTTGTCTACTCTTAAATACGTTTGAAATTTGTACAATAAAAAGTGTTTAAATGCCTTTGTTCTCTCTGTTGCTTCCGGGACACACCCAGACCTAGGATTCCCTGGTTGCATGAAGTCTAAATATTAGCTGTGAGATTCTACTGTTCCATCCTCATCCCCAGTCCCTTCTGGCTAGCTTTTAGAAGAGTGGAGTCCCTCTCCAGAACTGGCCAGTGGAGGGCAGTGGCCTTTTTGGGTGACATCCACCAGTTTTGCAAAAGCTTTTGACCTGGACCACACCAGAGGCTAAAGGAATTCCCACATCAGAGGCCGTACCCCTCCCCCGACAACACACACTGCAGTTATGGTCCATGGAGCCTCTGAGGGCCTCAGTTCCTGTCGCTGGCTGCAGTTCAGGGACTGGATGCCAGACCATGGGTGACTCAACAGTGACAACAGAAACAGAACTGTTCTGGAGCCCTCCTCTGTCTTCAGTCAACCCTGCTGGTTGGCGCAGCTGCCCCAGGTCATTTCTGATCAATGTAATACATTTCTGCTGGTTCGGGACTTGGAATTTCAACAATAGTCTTAAATTTGAGTCCAGGAGCTGGCCCCGTGGTCGAGTGGTTAAGTTCGCGCGCTCCGCTGCAGGCGGCCCAGTGTTTCGTTGGTTCGAATCCTGGGCGCGGACATAGCACAGCTCATCAAACCACGCTGAGGCAGCGTCCCACATACCACAACTAGAAGGACCCACAACGAAGAATATACAACTATGTACCAGAGGGGCTTTGGGGAGAAAAAAGGAAAAAATAAAATCTTTAAAAAAAAAAAAAATTGAGTCCAGCTAACATCATCCCAATAGGAGAGACTAGGTTAGATCCTAGGGTAGGGGTGAATTCCTTTGCAGCCAAGCAGAGGTTCTGAGAGGTGGCCTGTGCTTTGGGGTGAGGCTCTTCCTATAGGGACAAGCACAGCCCACTCTCCCCTCCTTGGAATCTGAACACATACTTGGCCTCAGCCTCTCCCCGCCTCTCTCTAGGACATAGTCTCATGGCCCTTACCACCCTCTCTGCTTTCTCTCTCTTCTCACATGGAGACCACCTCCACCTCGGCGCTCTCCCTCTCACCTCCCACAGCTCTCACTCTAGAACTGTAGCAGAGGCAGCAAGAGTGTGGAGGTGGAGAGGACACTGCTGACTCTGTTCTGCCATGGGCTGGGGCATTTTTATTTAGGCCAGTGAGTCACCATACCTGTCTGCAATCTCCGTCATGCTCCCACCCTCTCTTTCACTCTCTCCACCCCCAGCTCCCAGAACAACGCCCACCTGGGCTCCTACTCAGTCACCAGGAGTCTGGTCTGGGTTGTTGCATTCCAGCCTTCCCAAGGTTCCAGTGTCCCAGAAACCCAAGGAAATCAACACTCAGGACTCCCAGAGAGGGTGGCGTCTAGAAGGTGAGGCAAACTAATGGTAGAGGAGAAGAAGCCTGGGTGGGCAAAGGGAGGAAATAATTGGGCCTCTCTTTAGTGAGAGGGAAGGACCCCAGGGTGAATGGAGAGTGGAGAGAGAATGCATTTCCAGGAGCAATAAGAGAGGAAAAAAGTGGGAGGAAGGATCTGAGAGATCAAACAACCTCTGATTTCAGTTCAACAAATATTTATTGTTTTCCTCCCTTGTGGGAGAAGCTATAAGGTATAAGAGAAATATTGGGCAAACTTATGAATGAAAATGAGAGACACGGGACCTCTAGAGGCATAGGAGAGCACCCTCCAGGTCCTAAGAGGAGACCCAGGACTCCAAGAAGGCAAAAAGTCTACATCTAGTTCACACGGTTTATTGAGACATTTGTCCAGGATCCAGAGAGAGCAGGGAGCCTGCTCCAGTCTCTGCAGAGCCCTGGCATCTTCCTCACACAGGGAAGTATCTGAGCCTTGAGGGAAATGGCAGCCAAAAAGGGGGACTGACATGGAGACCTTGAGAGGCAAGGAGGAGTGCTGGGAACTCACAGAGGAATGTAGTGAGCTCTCTAATGGGGGATGGGAGAGGAATTAGGAGTGTGAGAACCCAATGGCATATTGTGCTGGTTGACCATATGGCAAAGAGGTCATTGTTTTCAGGTAATGGTTTGGGCTGTGCTTTATTTGGCAAAAGGGGAGAGAAGAGGATGACTTGTCGAGACATCAGAGTTACTCTGGGACATTTCAAGGGTTTCCAAGTCAGGAATCTTAATGGGCAGGGTTAGCCAAAGGACTGTACCATCTCAAAGAAATGGCAGAGGAAATTTTAGGGCATGGTTATCTGGCAGGGAGGGTACTGCAGTAGAATGGGAATCTAAGCAGTAGGAAAGAATGAGGAAAGGGATTTGGACTCTACAATTTGGGGAGATGAAGAAAGAAGAGGTGATAAGGGAGAGTCTGCCACATTGGAGCAATGGAGGAAGTAGAGGACCTCTCTTGTGAGGGAGGAGGGAAAATGAGCTAACCTCATGCCTGGGCCCCTGGAATTCTCTCAACTGAGAGATGGTGTGTGCATCTGTGTGTATGCCTGCACATATACATAAGCAAAAGCTGGCTTATGGTCTGTCAAGTAACTCTCCCTGAGGTAGGAAAACTTCAGGGTCAGCCAGCTGGGGCCCCAGAGGCTTCACATGAGCCAAGATGTCCCTGATGGAGCGGCAGGGGATCCTTCCAGAACTGCCGGAGCCACAGGGCTTGGCACCAGCTGAGGGATCAGGTTGGGGAGAGCCGTTGGGACCCCCACTCAATGTTGAGGAGGAGACAGAAATGCAAGGGTGACCAGAAGAGCTGGATTTGCTACCACAGGGCTGAAGGATGATTTTGCCACTGGATTGGGAGCTGGAGCTGCCGCTGAAGGAGCCAGTGCCAGGTGGGGAGCAGGGCCCCTGGGAAACACCGCTGCAGGGATGGGAAGATGAACCAGAACTGCTGGAAACGCTAGAACTGCTGTGGACTCCAGAACTGGAGAGGGAGCAGGGCCCATTAGAGCCTTTAGAGCCGACTCCACAGGGCTGGACGCCACCAGAGCCCACGGGCTGGAACGCAATGGCCGAGGAAGCTCCTGACTGATAGATGTTGGAACTAGAGGAGCCATGGCTGGGGATGATGGGATTGCTGGAGAAGTATTTGCCCTCAGAGATGGGGGGCCCAGCTGCAAAGGAGGGGGCCCCAGGAGAGCCTCTGACAGGGTTATCTTTGGTGAAGTAGCCCACAGGGTAGATTTTGCCCTTACTGTAGGTCATGCCTGGGACCAGATAACTGTCAGAGGAGCCACCCACCACCTCATAGCTGCCGTAGGATTTGTCTACAGAGGTGATGGGAGGACAGGGCTTGCCTGAAAGGCCACCATTGTTACAGGGAACACCTTGAACCACTCTGGGGCCACCAGAACCATGCTGCTCCACCACCACCACCACAGGCCTTTGACCTCCTGACACAGAGTGGGAGTTGGAGATGTAGGGGCCAGAGTTTGAGACGATGGGCCCCCCACTGCAGGGAGAGTCGGGGACGTCTGAACTACAAGGGCGCAGGTTGGAGTTGACCTTTTGGCCACCACTGTTGGATGTCCAGGAGGTTTGGGAAAAGGAAGAGCTTGAGCCTCCTCCAGACTGGGAAGAGCTTACTACCAAGCGGGAAGAACCACTGTTGATTGGTAGAGCTGAGCCAGACCCTGGCTGGGAGCTGATGCTGCCTGAAGAACCACCGTCAGTTGGTAGAGCTGAGCCAGACCCTGACTGGGAGCTGATGCTGCCTGATGGGGAGTTGATGCTTCCCGTTGGGGGCCTGATGCTGCCCGACTGGGAGGAGCTGGATGCACCCTGAAGACTAGAGCCAGAACTGGAGGAGTGGCTTGTCTGGGAATACCCTGTTCCTGGCTTAAGTAACGAAGATCCTGAAGAACCACCCTGGGCGACGCTGGATCCACTGGAGCCAACACTGGAGCCAACACCAGAGCCAACACCGGAGCCACCACTGGAGCCACCGGAGCCACCACTGGAGCCACCACTGGAGCCACTGGAACTGGAAATGGAACTGCCGGAACTGCTGGAGCCGCTGTGGCTACTGAAGCTACTGGAGCCACCCTTCCCAATGAGACAGGGGTCATTGGGGGAGGTGATACGAGTGGGGTCCTTACATGGGTCTGAGAAGGTCCCGATGCTCTTAGCCAAGGTCCCTGGGGAGGAAAGTCATGGTTAGGAGGGCACAGAGAGGCTTGGCTTTCTCCCTCCCCTTTCAGTCATCGTCCATTCTGATTTCTCCTGAGAGGAGCCCCTCGGGAGAGTCTGGAGTGGAAAAGGGAAGGAGATCTGGCTGTGTCTCTGAAGGAAAAGGAGACGGCAGACTAAAGGCTGTCTCATTGTTCTTGGGGGAGTTGCAGGGCGGTGGGGGGGGGGGGGGAGCAAACATCTACCAGGGAAAAGAAAATGAGGCTCTGAAGTAGGAGAGCTCGAAGGGAGATAAGAGGGAAGGGAGAAGTGGCAGAAACAAATAGGTGTAAAAGAAAGGACCCCAGAGAGACAGAGAGCAGGAAGACTGAGACTCTCAGAGCTGGGGGCATAAGTCCCGAGGAAAGAAACCCCAGGTGAGACCAAGGGACCAAATGAAAGAAGACAAAACAACAGAGGACTGAGATGGAAGGGAAAATAGCAAAGGAGATGCTGAGAAAAGAGAAAGTAGTGGCAGAGGGACTGTGGTAAAGCGTAGGGTACTTGAGGACTAAGATTTGGTCACCAGCTTCCTTGTAGAGTCCAGGCTTGGGTGAAGGATGGAAATTTTGTTTCCAGTCTCAGTACTGCCCAAGCCAGGAAAGCTGGATGTGGGCCAGGATGTGGGGGCACTCACTGTTGCTTCAGAACCTGCTGGTACCAGTGTGACAGGACACCCCACCCTGAGCCACCCCTGCACTCCTGGCCCAGTCCAGGGACACCAGGATGAAACCCTCCTCCATGGCTCATGACCTTCATCAGCTTACCTCTCTCCCTGCCCAGCCATCACGCAAATGCCTGTCTGCCCCCACAGGCCCACATCTGACTGCTCCTGCCTTTACTTCCCTTCCTGATGTGGAACCTCTTCTTTCCTTAACTGGCCCTTTGCTCCCAACCCCAGGCTCACGCTGACCCCATCCTTCCTCCACTCCCCACCTCTACCCCTTCACATCCCAAGTGGCATGGACAGAGCTGCGTACTTTATGCATTCAGAGAGGCTGAGTTTGTCCTGCCCTCCTCACAGCGTTACTGTGAGCACTGAATGTAATCGTCTATGTGGAGCCTGCTTTAAAAACACGTGAAGTGTGAGACATTATGATTTATTATTGCCCCTCTTCCCTGAACCCTCCACCAACAAGCAGCTCTCCAAATCTGTGATGCTTCCCTCTCTGCTCAAAAAGGAGTCCTCTGTGTCCCCTTCCACACCAAACCCAGCTCTGCCCGCAGCCCCTTCAGTCAGCTGCTCGCCTCCTCTGCTCCCCCAGGCGCCATGCAGCCTGCTCACGGAGCCAGGGAAGGTCACCATAAATATCAAGTGGTCAATGGCACTGGCCCCAGAGTCCCCCCCGGCCTAGGGTTTGAATCCCACTTTACTGCTTTCTAATTTGTGATCTTGAGCCAGTTTCCTAACCTCTCTGAGCCTCAGCATCCCATTTGTGGAGTGCCAATAACAA